GTTACGACCTTTGCATAGAATTTGTCTGATACGTGGCGGCTTGTCAACATTTGCAATGCCACAGGGTTGTGACGGGGTTCAGGTTGTGGTGCTTTCCATGGACCCCCTATGTCGAGTCACAACATAACTTTTAGTGACTGACAGATAGGGAACGTCTCGGTTACGTACATAAACCTCGTTCCCTGATGGAGGGAACGGAGACGTTATGTCCCCATGCCTCAACCTCAAACCATCGCTGGTTGCCAGGGACACTTTCTCGGCTCCTCAGCATAAAACCTGATGAGTGGATGCACCTGTCGCCTATTTACACCCGTATACACGGGGAGTGGCACAGGCATGCAAAATCCACTAGCAAAATTTCATTGGCATTTTCACTTAAAGTCAGAGCGGATTGGGGCCCTCAAGTAAACCCCTATGCCGAGTCTCGACATAACGTCTCCGTTCCCTCCATCAGGGAACAAGGATTACGTACGTAACCGAGATGTTTTGTTCCAAACCTTTAATGTAAATAATTATTGTTTTTTCTCTTCTTCGTTACGTGTATACATTATTGCAGATCCTGTGTTTTTGTTTTTGTTTTTGTTTAATTTTACCCAGTGCGTTAAAATTGAAGTATATAATTTCTTTAACACTTCTGTTGTGTTTACACTTTTTGGAGAATATAGAATAAATAAAGTACAATTCATGTACTTAAATATATTTCTGGCCTCAGGGTTAAAAAGAGAGTTAGAGAGTCTGTTAAATAGAGAATGCTGTTTCATAAATGTGATCTCTTGAGTATTTGTATTATGTTATGTAAAATGTGATTTTACCACACGCACGTTTACTTACATTTGCATAGACACTAAAATGTACAATGATGTATTGACAACATTTAAAACTTAAATCATTTACTTATGAACAACTATACAGGCATACAAATGTTTACAAATCATTATTTAATCTGTTTATTTGTTTAATTTACAGAATCAATCAGTTGTCTCTATTGTATTTATGATCAGTGATATTGTTTTCATGTTATTAAATACAGTTGGTTAATTTACTTGAAATAATATAATTTTGTTCTGTTCTGTGTGACTTCTGGTGCCTGCTCATTTCAAAGGATTACATAATTTTAAACAAGACTAAACTTTAAAATCTTTAAATGAATAAAATGTTCTTTTAATTTAATTTAATATTCTATTTTTTATTTTGTGTGGTTAACTGGAATTTATATATGGATTTTGGATGCTGTAACTTACATATGAGTAAGCTTTCTCAGGTTGTAGAAGGAATGCTTCTCTAACCTGCTCAGAGAGACATCCACGGTCAGATAGCTAAGGAAAGAATGGAGAAAATCCTGTTAAAATCCTGAATTTTATAAAAAATACAGCGTTATTTCAAGTTGCTCAGAAGTAGAGAGAAAAACTCCTTTCAGTATTTATGATGAAATGTCACCTCAGTACTGTACATCTGTAAATAACCCATCAAACCTTCATCTGTAAATAGCACATATGCACATTCACAATTCTGTCTATAGACATTTTCTTTTTCATTCTTTCAAATATTTTCATATTTCATATATTCATTTTCTTAATATATTTTTATTAAGTTGGCTTGAAAAAGCCAACTTACTGAAATCCTATTTAAACTTCTTCTGCTTCTTCTTCTTCTTCTTCTGAGACCAAATTTTAAAATGTATCTCCTCCTATACTTTTAAAGCTACAACCACCAAACTCGGGTCAGACCTTCAGACTGGTCTGACTCGGGTTGCTATATCTTTTCTACCTGATCTGGCTTACGGTTTTCGTAAACCAGACTATCAAAGCCACCTAAAATCCCATAGACTTTTATTGAGGGGGTGAAAACTTTTATACAATAAGACGTATGGTGTATTTAACCTGTCTATTGCTATAGCAAAGCTTAACAACTCACTACTGAAAAAACAGCTAAAACCAGCCTAAGCTGACTGACTGCTTTGGCTGGTCTCCCAAGCTGGCTTTAAAGTGGTTTTGTTTAGCAGGCCAGGCTAGTCTTAGCTGTTTTTTTTGTTTTTTTTAAACTGGTTTTAGCTGGATTAGCATAGAAACATGCTAACAACATGCTAGTAACTTGCTAATAATGCTAGAAACATGCTAACAAAATGCTAGTAACTTGTTAATCATGCTAACAACATGCTATTAACATGTTAATCATACTAGAAATGTGCTAGTAACTTGCTAATCATGTTAAAAAAAGGCTAACACCATGCTAGTAACGTGCTAATCATGCTATAAACATGCTAGCAACTTGTTAAACATGCTAGAATCATGCTAGCAACATGCTAGTAGCTTGCCAATCATGTTAACAACATGCTAGTAACTTGCTAATCATGCTAGGAAAATGCTAACAAAATGCTAGTAACTTGCTAATAATGCTAACAACATGCTAGTAACTTGATACTCATGCTAGAAACATGCTAACAAAATGCTAGTAACTCGGTAATCATGTTAGAAACATGTTAGCAACATGCTAGAAACATGTTAACATCATGTTAGTAACATGCTAATCATGCTAAATTCATGCTAGTAACATGTTAATAATGCTAGAATCATGCTAGCAACATGCTAGTAAACGTGCTAATCATGCTAACAAAATGTTAACACCATGCTAGTAGCATGCTAGTAATGCTAGAAACATACTAGCAACTTGCTAAACATGTTAACTAAATGCTTGAAACTTTGCTAAACATGCTAATCATGCTAGAATCATGTTAATAAAAAAATGTTAACACCAATGCTAGCAAATTGCTAAACATAATAGTAACAGGCTATTCATGCTAGAATCATGCTAGTAACGTGCTAATCATGCTAGAATCATGCTAGCAAACTTACTAATCATGTTAACAAAATGATAACACCATGATAGTAACATGCTAGTCATGCTATAAACATGCTAGCAACTTGTTAAACATGCTAACAAAATGCTAGCAACTTGTTAAACATGTTAGAAACATGATAGCATCATGTTAGTAACATGCTAATCACGCTAGAAGCATGCTAGTAACATGCTAATCATGCTAGAAACATGCTATTAACTTGCTAATCATGCTAACAACATGCTAGTAACTTGCTATTCTAACAACATGCTAGTAACTTGCTAATCATGCTAGAAACATGCTAGCAACTTGTTAAACATGCTAGAAACATGCTAGCAACATGCTAATCATGCTCGAATCATGTTAGTAACATGGTAATCATGCTAGAATAATGTTAGCAACATGCAAGTAACTTGCAAATCATGTTAACATGTTAGTAACTTGCTAATCAATGTTAACAACATGCTAGTAACATGCTAATCATGCTAGAAACTTGTTAGTAACTTGCTAATCATGCCAACAAAATGTTAACACCATGCTAGTAACATGTTAATCATGCTAGCAACATGTTAGTAACTTGCTAATTATGCTAACAACACGCTAGTAACATGCTAATCATGCTAGAAACATGCTAGTAATGTGCTAATCATGCTAGTAACATGCTAATCATGCTAGCAACATTCTAGTAACATGCTAATTGTGCTAGCAACATGCTAATCATGCTAGAAACAGGCTAATCATGCCACCAACATGCTATTCATCCTAGAAACAGCCTAGCAACCACCCCAGGTACCCTAGCAATATGTTTTATATCTATCTGTTTTTCTGATAGACTGTATTGCCTTAAAAACATTCAAACTTTAATCTTTAAAACAATTTTAACTTTCAAACTACTTCAAACTGAAAACTTTCAGACTGCAAGCTTTTAAAACTTTTTCAAACTTTCTAGCTAGGCTTCTTCAAGCCAACTTAAAGTTTGTCTACAAACCTTTCAATCTAGTTACTATTGTAATTGATTATTTATTGTCTATTCTCTTTATTATTAGTGTTTTTATTACCTTAATTATATGTCTGCACTATGTTTGTACTTTCTGTACTGGAAGCTCATAACACCAAGACGAATTCCTTGTGTGTGTAAACACACTTGGCACTAAAGCTATTTCTGATTCTGATCCTGATTTTCAGTCTTGTAATTTCACAATGTATTCAGGTATAGGGGAGAACAAAAGCAACTGTAGCACACTACATTTCTTTAAACAGAAACATTTAGGGTGTCGACAGACTTAGCACATGCACAGTAGAGATAAAGAAGTGTGATCATATCACTTTCTGAGAAATTTTTTGGTTTACTTTTCATTGTTGTAAAACAAATTTAATCCAGGTAATTTCCAACATTATATTGCTACTTATCTTCCCAAACTTCCTAAACTAAACACATCCTAGGACTAGCTGCTGATACCTGTTCAGACAATGACTTACTGGCTGAAGGTAAAAGTAATAAGCAAAAATTGTCATAAAAAAAACACACACACACTGCCAACAATTATTTTTTGTATCTCATCTTAATGCTCACTCTCAGTGACCACTTATACACTCCAGCATTTTCAGAATGGCAATCCTCTAAATTATTGTCCTGTTCCTATATTTACAGAATATAGGAGTCACTCGTAAACCCTTGATTTCTATTTAGAAGACACCTGTTTGGTTTCTTGCATCACCCCACACACGTCAGAGCACATACACTGCTCATTAAGCCACATCTCTAGCATTATCAGGATTTTTTTATAAGAAAATGTTATTTAGCTAACACAGTAATCTTGCTTTAGATATGTATAATATTTATCATTGCCACTTTGCAGGTATTCACACCTGTCTTGTTTGCTTTGATTGAATCAAACTCAAGTTCGTTTCCCCTCTTGGTGCGGATCTTTTTGGCAAGTGTGAATACAGCAATCGCACTCGGGTGTGGACTAAACAACCGTACCGAGACCCAGCTGAAGAGGTGGTCTCAGTCCGCTTCCAAACAAACTCTGGTACGGTTTGTTTAAGGTGTGAACATGATCCGACCCAATTGCAGAATTCACACTCAAAAACAGACAGCTCGCGCATATAGTGCTGTTGTTTGCATTTCAGTGGCTTAATCACTTGTTTTTAAACCGCAATGCTTAAAAATGCGTGCAAATGCTGAGTTTTCGTGACCATGGCACACAGCAACGTGACGTGAGCGTGCTAAATAGGCTGAAGCTTGCCGCAAAGCCCCAGCAAAAGTTACCATGAATGTGTCAGGGGGAAATAGTAAGGAAATATTTGAATTATTTATTAATAAACTAGTGTTTTGTTGCAACCTAGAATTAAACTGCTGGCTTCGTCTGGTTTTTAGTCATTTAAAGCTTTCTATAGATCTATTCATCATGTCTGTGAGGAAAATATTCGCTGAGTTTCAGTTCAAATTTGTGAAGCACTCCTGCTCAAGACCGAGACAGCAGAATGCGCATCCTATTTGTTTTCTTTATTTTACAAAAGTACAATGTTTTGTTGATATTGTGAGTTCACACAAATAAAAGTAGACCCTTTACATTTCCGAACGATGTATTATTCTTACTTTTATGAGCAAAAATGACCACTGATGTCCTGAAGCAATTTCCACTGATGTCCTGAAGCGCGCTTCAGCTTCTACTCTCGGCACAAGCAATTGGCTATGCGCCTAATGTTTAAACTAACATTGTGATATGCTTTAAGTATTTTATATCTATAGATTTTATTTTCGACAAGTTGTAATTACAACATCGTATGACATTGTCTCATATGATGCTCATAAGTTTCTTCATATTGCGTTAGTAGTTGATAACACCAAATCAGTAAAAGAATAACAATTGCACTACGAAAGATCTCCATGATTAGCCTGTTTTTGCACTTGCTGCTTTTACCCTGCTTCACAATTTCTGTCCAATGAATGGATGACCTTAGCACAGGTGTGGTTTTGTTTGCAATTTCTGGTTCACTTGCAAAAAGGGCAGTGTGAAAGTGAACCACTCCAAAGAAAAAAAACAAAAAACATTGTATTTGGTCCGGACCAAAGCAAGTGAACTAGCGGACTTTCCTGGTGTGAATACACCCTAAGGTACCATCAGGTTTGATTAATTCTGCAACCACTTTAAGGGTGTTTCACACCTGTAGATCAATTGTGTAGCGAATCAGCTCATGGGGAAATATGAATAATTAATCATAACTAGTTATAATTAATTATAAATATTTAGATCCGCTGTAGATATTTACTTGACCTCCAAAATGATCTTGGCTCAGAAACCCTCTTCTTTTGAGACGACACTTTTCCAAGACTCTCAAGATTTTCCTCGAGTTTTGATTTTCCGGCAGTTTTTATCTTCAAGTAACTTCAATTCGCTGTGGACTTTTCTTATCTTCAGAAGACCCAGAAGTAAACTTCCAGCTCACTCCTAACGAACTCATCAAAGACCTCCGTTATCTACCGCATCAGGACTCTTGTTCAGCAATCGAAGCCAATGCAAGTAACCGTTTACAATTATTTAGATGCGTGTTTAAGCTTGAGCCCCTTTAAGGTTTGAGCTGATTTACTACAGATTTTGGTGGAGAAACACGGGCGCATTCAAACTTGGTTTGTGAGCACACAGTATCAATTTATTTGTGTTTTTATATTATGCGCGCTTAGAGTGAGACAAGTCGCAACGTGAACGTTGGAACGAAGAAATCTTCCTGCATTGCGATAAAGATTGATTTGATCGATGCTCCTTTTATCATCTTTTAAAGGCCTTATTTTATAGTATCGCTAGATTGAAGTCATTGCGTATTCCAATTTCATTCAACTAGATGATCTCACTCCCTTAGGTTTAACCGTTAGAGTAGCTATCCAATGCGTTGCCTAATGCAGATTTGATCATAAGAACAATCAGCCAGTAGACTGATTGAAATGTAAATGGGATCTTTTAAAACCTTGATCAAGTGAAATTTGCATAACAACAGCGAAGAAACCCTGTTGTTCATAGTGTTCATATGTGTACTGGCAGCGAAGAAATCCTGCTACACACCATTAAGCAGTTAAGTTGCACAAACTGTAAGAATCTGTTGGGATTTGAGTCTCAGTGTTCTTGTGATAGCTACAGTAAATTCCGTTAGAATGAGAGTAGTCTCACACTAAACGCTATCAGTTTTAAGCACGATTGGAGTTAAGGCACAGCACCTTAAACTAACGCTAGAGGGCAGGCTGTTTAAGTATCTAACATGTCTTAAACTCCTCTTCTACCCTCCTGATTTCACCTTGTGTGGGCGCACCCACTCCCCCTTGTGGGCATTCTCTGCTAGGTCGACTTTGTACTCCAATTTGTTTTATTTTAATTTCCCTTCTGCTTCGTTAGTCATTATCATTCTAGCCATTCTAGTTACCTGCCATTTTTTATTTTATTTTATTTATTCATTTATTTTTATTTCTTGTTTTTGTATTAGTTTTTCATATTCAGTATTTTTGTTTTACTTTATTATCTTTTATTACTTTTATAATTTTTTGTTTGTTTGTTTTGTTCCCTTTTTAATTTTTTTTTTAATTTTTTTTTAATCAGGTTTCTCTCCCCCCTCTTCTCTCTCACTTTACCACTAACTTATTTAAATTTAGTTTAAACGGTGTTTGAATTCAAATTTAAAGTTAATTTCTGTATTCTAGCCATTTTTGTTCACCTATAGGTAACACTCCCCCTAGTGATTAGTTGGTGAAGTGACAGTTGCCTCCACGGCGGATCACAGTGAGCTGCCACGGGATCCAGACTGAATCACCTCAATCCATCACTAAGCCTAGCCATAGAATACTGACCCATCCAGGGTCAGTATTCCCTGAATACTGAGGGAATTCAGTATTCAAGCAAGGCTATCCAAGCAAGGCTGCCACACTAGATGTTATGACCCAGCAGCGCCCTCTACTCGGTAGGCCCTGTCATAACCCCTAACAGCAGTAAAAGGCTTAAACCTGCTCTCTCCTCTATCTCTCTCTGTGTTTTGATTTGTTGGTTTGTTTGTTTTTCATTTTGTTCTGTTTTGTTACTCTGAAAGGGAAATGCACACCACAGAATTTCCCCTAAACAGCAGATTAATACCTCCTAGTCAAGGATTCCCAGTTCGAAAGGGGGTTGAGAGCCCACTGCTCAAGACATCACCTGCCAGCATCCCAGAACCCCCAGCAGCAGCAAGGGGGTGGGAGCACCAGAACCAGCCAACATCCCGCAACACACCTCACCTCCAGCCAGGACCGCAAAGTACCAGAAAGCGTGCTTTTGGTGATCTGCCTCCCTGACGAGCCACACAAGACCAGCTCTGACTGCTTGCCAGTCACCACACAAGCCCCAGTGCCGGGTGTGAGGCCTTTAAGGTCGGAGAAGATTCCCTCCTCTCAAGATGGCTTGTCCAATGAGAAAGGCTGAAATTCCAAGTGGGAGGTTGCAATTGCTGGAGGGTTTTACGACCCTTTTTGCTTTGTTCAGAAACAGGGATTAAAATTACTACAGTGTTGTTTTTTATTGTTGGTGCGGTTCGCTTTCACACAGCAAAGTTTCTAAACGGACCAAAATTGTTAATACAAGTCACGTGCGATTAAACTGTCCTCTCATTGGTCAAAGTTCCAGTTTATTTTCCAGAATTCCGCTCATAGCTGTCATCCGTCAGGATGGAACGACAACAGCTTCGGGGGCTTATTGTTGTTGTTGTTTCTGCAGCTGTCATTATATTCATTTACCATTTTGAGCAGGAGTCCAGGATTTGTCATGAAAACATTTTTAAAATGCAGCTACTAGGAAGAAGAGCAATAAGACGGCATTATAAAATGAAAAGGCGCGCTTTGATTTTGAATGGCGAAGACGTGCTCACCCATAGACATCACCTGCGTCCCAATGTGCATACTATCCATCCTAAATTCTGTGATATTAGTAATTTTCAATACTATTTAGGGCAGATAGAGTGGATATGCACATTGGGACGCAGTTAAGGGGGGAAACGCGCCAGCTTCCGAAACAACGGGCCAGGTGTGAAAGCACCCTAAGTTTTATTCACTTAGCAAGATATCAGTGTGTATATACATACATACATATAGGCTATAGCTATATATAAATGTATGTGGTCTCTGACAACTGGCTCTGGTCTCTAAAAAAGTACTTACATTCTTGAGATATTGGCCATATTTGCAAAGGCATCTTGGGGAACTGTCATCAGGCTTGACTCATAGAGACTTCTACAATTGAAAAGATCATCACAAATACATATAAATTTGTATGATAATTACAACTTATTTACATTTACATATTAAACAATGTTGCACATGGAATTTAAAAGAACATCCTTGACAATACAATGTTAAATATCACAAAATTTAGATACCTACTCATTGCTTATTTTTCACATATTAGCCCACTTTATTAAGTAACAACCCAAAAAAGGACTATTCAACAAGTTCTACTTGTAAACCATTCATTGTCATGTATTAAGAATTTTACAGTGTGTCAGATAGATTATGGACTGACAGATATCTTGAGAATTAAGAATCCTAACAGTAAGGGCTATTCATACTATTCCCCACATCACAAATCTAATTCTGGAATAGATTTTTTTTCTGACATACACTTGTATAACATCAAATCATTAACCCAGTTTTTCGGCCAATTATACAATTTTTGACCATGCCCCCACAGCATTACTTTTCTTGCAGCGCACCATCCACCATCTAGATGCCAATTTAATAATTCATTGCTCAATGACATAGATTTTCTAAAACATTTTAGGAATGCACTTTCATTGTTAGTGTATTATCACCAAAGGAATATCTGCATCACTGGCAAATGGCAAAATCTGTAAGGGAAAAAAATCATCTTATTTTGTTCATGTAAAAAGAAAAAAGCAGTCAGCAGTTAATTCTTAGGAAAAGGTGAAGACACTGGACCATATGGACTCTCAGGTTCCTACAGATTCAGTCATTAATAAACTCAACAGAACTAAAGAAAAATTGAATAATTTAATAAACCAAAAAAACTGAGCTAATACCGCACAAACTCAGACAACAGCAAATCAAATTTGGAGAAAAAAAGGCAAACACAGTACTTGGCAATCCAACTCAACAGCAAAAACTGAAAAAAACAAACAAACAAAAAACAATTAAAAAAACAAAATCTTTACATCTAATCCGGATAAATCAGGCAACATAAGTCAGAATCCATCTGAAATAAACTATTTATTTAGGTCATATTAAAAACTATACTACAAACCAGAATGCATTATTGGAAGAAGCAAAATCTTTTTTTGATGAGTGTCTCCTTAAGTATTGGAAATCCAATCAGAACAATTAGAAAAATCTTTATCCATGCAGAAAATTATCAATGCACTTAATCAGATACCAAATAACAAAATCACTTGGTCTTCCAGGCAATTCTACAGACAATTTTGGACATTGCTTTTGTCTTTATTGTTCAAATTTCTTTGTGAAATTTATGAAACAGGAACCATACCTCAGAATACTGCCTCATCCCATCCAATTTGGATTACACTCAGTGCTCAAAAAAAACCAAAAAAAAACTCCGCTGTGGTTACAAGAAATTTACTGTAATAAATGTTAACAACATTTAAGGTGTTACTTAATTTTACATTAAAAAGACATTAACTAATAACATGTTAATATACCAGCCTATTGAAGTAATTAATATCGAATACCTTCATAATACACTGACAACCAAAACAGGTGGTGATAAGAAAGCCACATGATGAAGTAGTAGCTTTTTCACAAGCCGAGAAAATAAATACTAATATATCGAAACACCATCATGGTAACACATGACACTAAAATAATGCAATAATCATTAATTTAACAATATGCTGTGCCAAAGCCTAATGTACATAACAGATCAAACAAAAAAAAACTAAGAAACATGTGAATATTTCTTTTTACAGTAGAATCTGTGATTTCAACCCTGATACATCCCGATCAGCCTGGCTTTATAAAAGGGAGGCATCCCTCAGAAAATAAGGTAATCAATAGTTAATTTTTTTTTTAATTGCTTACACGCTACAAGTTGAACTAGAGGCACACTCAGTGAAACCATTCACTCCTATACTGAATCTTCAGACTAAATCTGCAAAACTGCAAGCACATTATCTGTTTTACACTCAGTTTGCAATTGTAAAACAAACATTTCGCAAAACACTAAACAAAGTACTCTACAGTGGTTCTCAGCTCCAGTCCTTGGGACCCACTGCTCTGCACATTTTGTATGTGTCTCTTATCTGACACACTCAGTTCAGTTCATTAGTCTCTCTCCTAACGAGCTGATGATCTGAATCAGGTGCAAAATGTGCCGAGCAGTGGGTCCCGAGGACTGGAGCTGAGAACCACTGCTCTACATCATTCAAAATGAACAGCTCTTGTTTAATTTGGGAAACACTGCTATTTAAATGCCATTACTGATTATCTACACCCAATGACCAGGTGTGAAAACATCTGTACATTTGTTCACTTAAAATAAAACTCAGTGTTTTGAGAATGAAATCAGTGGTGTATAAAGTACCTGAAAGCCATACTCAAGTAAAAGTACAGATATCTTACCAGAAAATGACTTTGGTAGAAGTTGAAGTCACCGTTTAGAATATTACTTGAGTAAAAGTCTTAAAGTATGTGATATTTATTGTACTTAAGTACGAAAAGTATTTTTAAAATCTTAAACGTACTCAAGTATTGAAAGTAAAAGTACAAGTAAATGCAAAATGGAAAAGAAGCAAATATATATAAATTTATATAATATATATAAAAAATGTTCATACACAGCTTGAGTAGCAAGATTGTGTTCAGTTTTAACTCTTTCTTCCATTTTGTATTTTTGGTTAAGAATAAAAAGCACTTCATCCAGTACTTAGTGTCTTTCATTCCAACATAAGAAAACATTTCTGGAATCTGCATCTGAAATAGCATTTAGATATATTTACACCATTTGTGTATCTCAAAGGGGACATGGATGCATTTAAACTGCAGTTACAGATGCATAAATAGGCCTAATGTTTTGTTTTTAACATAAAACATTGAATACTGATATTTGAAATAATTTAAAACATGAAAAAAAATAGTCGAAATGTGAAATTAAAACCGCCAGTAGGTGACAGCAAGTGACTGTTAATGAGTGAGTCATTGAAATTCAACTGATTCATTCAAATGACTGATTCATTCAGATACAAAGCATTTGACTGTTAATGAATCACTGAATCATTTATTCAACTGATTCGTTCAAAAAGCTGATTCATTCAATAAGTAAACACTGTACATTGCTCAGAGACGCAAATCTTTGTTTTGAACTATTTTCATTGGCAAAATTGAGCAAAAACAAGCAATATTATGTCTAAAATGTGTGATACAAATTAACTATATTAAATTATATAAATATAAAAAGCATATAGAAGCATTTTTTGCCATCTACAATTTAGAATGCCTGGAATTTTGAGTTTTAATACACTAATCAACTACTTGATCATGTCAGATCACACATCATTACAACACTTACCATATTATCCGTGAACCAGAAGTTGCAACTGACTTCAGTGTTGTGATGTATTTCCAAGTGAAATGGAATATTAAATAAAGGGCAGTGTTTTATTGTGGTGCACCTCCATTCCACCTCTTGCTCATAGCAGATTCACGGTTGGACAGGAGTGGTTAAGAATATCTGCTTGTCACCATACATCATGCTTCACCGCTTCTGGGTCCTAACGCTCTGCCAGACGCCCCCCAAAAAACAACAAACTGTGCTAATACACACACTTATCTCCATAACGAATTAGATGGCGCTGTTCCGAGCAGACGTGCTGCACTCTTAATCCTCAGACATCATCGAGATTTGCATGCAATAAGGACTAATATTAACTTTGTCTGAAAACTCTGTCATATGGGCAAACGCAAAGCGAAACATCACTCCGAGGCGAGCATGGAGATAAATGAAAATATCTTGCCATTCCAACTATTCGCCCCGTATCCTGATGATGCAATGCTGCTGACAGATTTAACCAGTGACTCAGCTGACACTGTCGATCCAGCGAAATCTCTGGCATCTCCACTACAGTACACCCCAGCTAAAAGCCCAGCGCCAAAAAGAGGAAAGACTAATGTTACATCTCCTGATTGTGACATCAACAAGGTTATGGCTGCCATTAAATCTCTTTCCGCAAAATGTGAAATAATTTTTGAAAAGTTTACATCTATGGAGACAACGGTGAGAAACACTGATCAGGCCATTACCTTTCTGAATGAATCAGTGGTAAAACTCCTTAAAGATACCACCGATCATAGCGAGAGAATTTCAGCGCTGGAAAAGAAGACGTTAGACTTGAGAGAAGAAAACAAACAACTCAAACTTCAGCTGCTGGAGGCGAATAGCTATCGACGAAGATCCCAGCAAACGGGACGTCACCCGGACGTTTCGAACATCCGTTTAGGTCCGCAGTACGTCCGCTTTGTAACGTTCGGGGGCGGACGTTCGGAGGACGTCCGGATTTGGTCCGCTGTGTAACGTTTGCTGGCGGACGTTTTGAGGACGTCCACTTACGTCCGCATTTGGTCCTCTTTGTAACGTTCGCTGGCGGACGTTTGGAGGACAAGAGGTTCGAAATTCCTGGAGGAAGCCCATCTCCGTTTAAAAGACCTGTCACCTGACGAAAGAGTGGCGAGGGCCAAGGCCTGGCCTTTGGTCAAGAAAGCCAGAGAAGAAGGCAAGAGAGCATCATTCGTTGGTGCCTTTTCTTATATCGAAGGTAAAAAAGTTAATATTGATGTTTAGTAAACACCGAGTGAAAAAGGACACACACGGACATTTTATGTCTGATGCTTTCTTTGGACCATTCATTGTCCTTAACAACTTTACAATGCAGATTTATAATATTTGTTGACATCTTGTTGCATGTGTAAGATCCCGATGGGTCTATCTGTTTTCATTGTAACGAGTAGCTTAGTCTAATTTAGGAGGTCTTGTTAATTGTTCTATCGTTTTTTAGGTTTTGTTGTCTTCTTTCTTGGATGACAGTCTTTAATTTTGGAAAATTAGATTTTATCTCTCTTAATGTCAGAGGTTTAAGGGATTTGGATAAAAGGAAGGCACTTTTTCTTTTCATTAAACACAGGGAGGCTCAAATGATTTTATTCCAAGAAACACATTCTTGTGATAATGACATAATGTTTTGGAAATCGCAGTGGGTTAAGACAGAATTACTATAGACGCAGTTTCGATTTATTAATCAAGTAGTTTCACTTCCAAGCTGGCTAAGTTTACTCGTGCAAGATGGAGACACAAATAACGGCAGAGGATAATATCACTCTCAAAGAAAATAAAAATGAAATTAACACCAAAATAATTGATTAATACAATAAACCCAAAAAAAACTAACGTAAATTCTCATACATAGCACCTCAAAGCATGAAATACAAAAAAACCACAGCACACATGTGAATGATAGTGAATATACTTCCTCCCTATATAGTTACAATGAGTAACTTAGCCTGATATTACTAGACCTAAAAAGAAAATACACAGGTATTTATTGATTGGAGGTGACTTCAATGAAGCCCCCAATGAGTCCTTAGATAGATTCCCTCCAAAGAACAGTACATCTAAAGTTTTTGAGTTGCTTTGTGATAAGTTACAGGTTACTGGTGTTTGGCGTTTTTTTCATCCACATGATAAGGAATATACGTGGACAAATAATGCTCTTACACGTAAGTCACGAATTGACTTACTAATGCAGTTCAGTTTGTCTCAGACACTTTGATAGGTTATTCACCTTTATCTGATCATAGATTTATCTCAATCTCTTTAATTGGAAATACAGATAGTTGTAAAAGAATTCGCGGTTACTGGAAATTTAATAAGAAGTTACTTTCGGATGCAAATTTTGTAGATTCTGTTAAAAAAACTGTTTCTATTTTGGAAGATGAATCTATGAGTTATATCCAAAGATGGGAATTTTTTAAATTCAAAGTTAGACAATTAGCTATGCGTCGAGGTAAAGAACTTAAAGTGGCAAATTCTAAAAGATGTCATGATATTCTCAATGAGCTTGACAAGTTGTTATCTAACGAAACTCTTAATACAGAGGAGGAATCCTATTTATCTAATTTGAGAAACGAAATAGATGACTGCTGCAAAAACATGTTGCTGAAATTTCTTTCTTTTTTTCATGTTTCCAATGTAAAATAGTTAAACATTTTTACAAACAAATGTAATTTACCAATTAAGATTAACACAAGGTTTATGGTTCCATTTGCACAGTGAAACCAAAAATCCCAGAACACCTGGATGATTACAGCTACACAGGTTTCCAATAGTAGCACAGATCCATAACCAATAGTCATGGGCCAAAAAGTAAAAGGAAACAACAACAAGTCACAGAAACAAAGAAAATACAATTTCAAGGCAGGGAAAACAGTGATCAATTGAGCTGGACCAAAACAACTCTTTGAGACTTTAGCTGGTCACACACCATTAAAGGGCTACAATCGTCACAGTATACTTCCATAGATCGTCAATGCTCCCGTGCAGTATGCTATGCTGCTCGTTCAGCGTCTGATACTCCTCCAGCCCAAGATAACCAACATGAGAGTTTAAGACATCTAAAAATCACTAAAAGAGCAATTACATGATTACACACCATTAACATCTCATACCGTTTACACGATCGTAAATCACTGGCTTTTGACCAGCGACGCATAAGCCAGCACTAATTTAAATACCTCACAAATCTAATCATACAAATAACCAACAAATTAAACGTTAACACTCTTCAAAACGGATAACATTCAATAAAAAAAGACCTACCAGAGATAAAAACTTAGCCTGATATTACTAGACCTAAAAAGAAAATACACAGGTGGTTATTTATTGATTGGAGGTGACTTCAATTAAGCCCCCAATGAGTCCTTAGATAGATTCCCTCCAAAGAACGGTACATCTAAAGTTTTTGAGTTGCTTTGTGATAAGTTACAGGTTACTGATGTTTGGCGTTTTTTTCATCCACATGATAAGGAATATACTTGGACAAATAATACTCTTACACGTAAGTCACGAATTGACTTTTGGCTCTTATCTACTAATGCAGTTCAGTTTGTCTCAGACACTTTGATAGATTATTCACCTTTATCTGATCATAGATTTATTTCAATCTCTTTAATTGGAAATACAGATAGTTGTAAAAGAATTCGCGGTTACTGGAAATGTAATAATATGTTACGTTCAGATGCAAATTTTGTAGAATCTGTTAAAAAAAACTGCTTCTGTTTTGGAAGATGAATCTATGAGTTATATCCAAAGATGGGAATTTTTTTAATTCAAAGTTAGACAATTAGCTATGCGTCGAGGTAAAGAACTTAAAGTGGCAAATTCTAAAAGATGTCATGATATTCTCAGTGAGCTTGACAAGTTGTTATCTAACGAAACTCTTAATACAGAGGAGGAATCCTATTTATCTAATTTGAGAAACGAAATAGATGATCGCTATTTAGATTTAGCTAAGGGCGCATTTATAAGATCTAGGGCTAAATGGTTGGAAATGGGAGAGAAAAATACCAGTTACTTTTTTGCTCTGGAAAAAATAAATATAAAAAGAAAATGTCTAGCAGCGTTAAAAATTGATAATAACATAAACAAAAACCCCTGTCAAATTAATAAATATGTATACTCTTTTTTTAACAAATTATATTGCTCACATTATAATGAAAATTATGCAAGATCCTTTTTACAAAAAATCAAACCTTTCACTCCAGTAATTTCAAGTGAGTTTAAAGTGGTTTGTGAAAATGACCTTTCTTTAGACGAACTTACCAAAGCTGTGCAATCTATGAAGAAGGGTAAATCCCCGGGCACAGATAGCCTAACTATTGAGTTTTATGCATACTTTTGGGAATCTATTAAAAGACCATTACTTAGAATGTACAATGAATGTATTATTAATGAGGAATTATGTACCTCTATGAAACAAGGCCTTATTACCTTGATACCAAAACCAGGCAAAGACCTTCTCTCCCTTGACAACTGGAGGCCAATTACTTTACTAAATTTAGATTATAAAATTCTATCATTAGTTCTTGCAAAAAGATGAAAAACAGGCTTATCTGATATAATTAATGAAACTCAAACTGGTTTTATGCCTAAACGACATATAAGTTGTAATATCAGGCTAATTTTGGATCTCATAGATTATGCTAATTATATTAACTCAAATATTTTTACAAAGCGTTGGATACCATCGAACATAAATTTATATTTTCTACTCTAGAGTTGTTTGGTTTTGGAGAGAAATGTATAAAAATGGTTAAAATTATATATAAGGATATTAATAGTTCAGTTCTCTTACAATTTGATACTTCTAATAGATTTCCTATCAACAGGGGTGTTAGGCAAGGTTGTGGAATCTCCCCCTTTCTGTTCTTATTAGTTGTGGAATTACTCTCTTTAAATATTCGAAATAATCCTGATATCAAGGGGTTGACCATTTTTGATCATGAGATTAGCATTTCACAAATTGCAGACGATACAACCCTGTTTTTAGAAAATACAAATCAGGTTGCAAAAGTACTTGAAATCATTAATTCCTTTTTGGAGGCTTCTGGTTTAAAATTAAATATTCCTAAATGTGAAATTTTTTGTTTATTTGATAACCTTGAAACCTCTGTGAATAATATACCTATTAAAGATAATGTGAAATATCTCGGCATCCATATTTCCAAGAAAATCTCTCTTAGGCAAGAAATGAATTTTACTCCTAAAATTAAAAAAGCAAAACTAATATTTAACAATTGGCTTCAAAGAGATCTATCCTTTCTTGGTAGAGTTCTTTTAATAAGAGCAGAAGGTCTGTCTCATTTTATATACCCATCTTTTTCATTATTTGTTCACGACAATACATGTAAACAAGGTGAAAGCATCCGGCCCCCCCAGTGTTTCCACATCGTTGAATCCGGCCCCCTTTAGGAAAAGTTTGGACACCCCTGCCCTAAACCTACCCTACACCTGACCCTATCCTTAACCAGTGAAATTGACAGCACGGCGGGATTGGCGTTGAATAGCGTGGTAAAGAAAGTTGCGGTTCAGGAGATAAACAGTTAATACGATTATGCGATATGAGATCGTTCCGTAACTCCCCAACCGGACCTCACCGGACAATGGCACCTTTTTAGTTACACCCAGCGTCACTACCCCCTCCTACACTGCGAATCTCGTGCCCCGGGACGCCCCCGCTGCTTAGAACAAAGCGATAGAGTAAAATCTTTCCCCTGCGCTGCGCTGGGACGGCTGGCGGGAGAGCTCGTGGGTGATTCCCGTTTATTAAGCAGAGGTTCAAACTCCGGTCCGAACAACACTGGCCACGAGGGCCACGAGCTGCTCTCACTGAGAATATTTATTTATATAGAATATTTTATTTTAGATCAACTAGAAACAATAGAAACAATATAAAGTTTTATTTTGAAATGTAAGTCAATAACAATTGGCCGAAGCCAGCCAATGGTGAAAGTCTTTGCGCGAAGAGACCCCGCCCCATTTTGGAGGTTCTGCCCACTTTTGGAGTTCACGCCCCATTTTGGAGATCTCCGGTCTGC